AAAGTTAAACAAATACACCCTACATTTATCAGGCGTCAAGCACGTCAAAGCGTGTAACATGTTTTAAAATAGGCTAAACGTGCTTAGGTGCTAAACGCGTGGAAAAAATGAGACAAAACAGGCGCTTAGAAATGTGTCTCAGAGCTAAACACTGTTTTTACAGTGTAGCTACATTGTAACACCTGAGACCCGTTATAATGGCTCTGAGTTTGAAGTATTGAAAGTTGATTGTATTTGATTTGTGCAGACAATGGCCTGATGAAAAATTAAAAAAGGAGAGCCTGTAGGCTGGAAAAGACTAGTGAAAGGAGACGTATAAAATGCTCACAAAAGTGTATGTTCATGATGCAGTTTTGCTTAATCAATTTGAAGTCTGTGAGTGAACCTTAATTATTCATGAGAGAGAGAGAGAGAGAGAGAGAGAGAGAGAGAGAGACTTTGAGCTATTCTATTCACACAGTGTAGTAAATGATCTTTTCTTTTCCATTTTCGTAACGTGTTTTCACTGTTACTGAAACAATGGAATATTCCAGCAGAATGTTACATCTGTGATTTCAATAGACAGGGGCGGATCCAGGATTATTAGAAGGGGAAGTCCAGAACGCCAAGCCTCGGATGCGAAGCTGACCATCGCCCCCTTGGCGTGGGGTTCGGGGCCTGCTCAAGGGCCCTGACATTTTTTGGGTGTTTTGGAGGGCAAACGGTGATCTTTGGTACAGTCTAAATTACGATTCAGCTAGTCAATATTCTAATTTCAAGAGTGAAATATTGGTGTGATATATTTTTCAGAAACCGAAGGGGGGTTCAGGGGGTTCAGGACCCCCCTGACCCCCCTCCTCTAAATCTATCAGTGGTGGATTTAGAGGAGGGGGGTCTATATGGGAGCGGGATAATTTGGCAAAAGTTGTTGTAGGCACAGTAGGCTATTCCTTAAAATGCTGTGCGAGTGTGTTTTTATGGTTCTGTTTGAAAATATATGCATGATGAATGGTTTTTCAGACAGAAGCATAGACTGAGAAAACTGAACTAGATAGAGAAGTTTCATGGAGGAAATTCAAATCAACAAAGATGAAAAACATATTTAACACAGTTTTAACTTCTTTGCCAAGTGCTTTTGTCAGTTTCATCGACGTTCCATATACCACTGTTGCTTCATCCTTAACTATTCTCAGTTTCTCTATATAATAAGAAACCACCAACAGAAAAACCTATTATAGAATAAAATGCTGAATTCAAGTATGGGGATGGTAAAGTAATGGTTTGGGAAATTTTCTCCCCCCCCCCCCTCCCCAACCCCCTCAAGTAAAAATTCTATTTGCTGGAAAATCCATATTAGGATACCTTTAATGTGTTACAATGAAGCGGACGCACACGGTGGATTAGCATTATAAGCGTATCTGTGTCTCAACACCAACCAGATACGTTTTATTAGAGACATTACACACCTCATTAATTATTCCTATACTCAAAACATCAAACTGTAGATAAGTTGTTCAAATGGGATTTAATTTACATGTTAGATTAATATGCCAAAATGCGGGCCTAGCTTACGCGAGACCGATTTGATTAACTCATTTATTTATAAAAGTGACATAATGATGGCCATCCATTACGTTTTATTGGATGTATCTATTACATCATGAATCAAACTTTACACGCTGCTTTGATGTTTTGATGGGATATTGGTTCATTTGTCTACATAAACTATTTCTCTGTAGAGACCATAGAACGGAGAGAAAACACCCATGAGTCACGTAAAACATCGGAAATATTGGTAGAAGAAATAAGAGATGAATTGTAGGAGCTATCAGTGATAATTGTTGTCTATAGCAGTTCAGTTTACTCTTTCCTCTCTTGTGTGTTCTCAGGCCCGTAGCCAGGGGGGGTTCGGGGGGTTCGAAAGAACCGCCCCTTTTACTGGGAAAAGGTTCACTCTGGGTAAGATTTGATCTATGTACATGAAGTTTTTATGGGAAAAGGTCCACTTTTTCAGAAAAAGAACCCCCCTTATGAAATTGCTGGCTACGGGCCTGGTTCTGTACATAGTTGTGACGACACTAGTTTCTTCGAGAGGCCAGTTGGGTAATGACATCATTTCTGTGTAAAAAATTCTCACAGGACAAAAATGTGCACAGAATTAGCTAAAGAAATATCTATAAATATCTGGTAAAAAATCATCTGTGACCCTGATAGAGGATATAACAGCAACGGCACAGTTTACGGCTTTCAACTTAGCGTGACGTCACATCGATTACGTCAGTCAGCAATCCTTAAAAGGAGATCTGTCGAGATCTGACTAGATTTTAATCATTTTCGACCGTCAGTGCCATGACAACACTAGCTTAGATTTTTGGCGTTTTTCTAAATGTGTGTTAAAAGCGTGATAAACTATGGATCCACCCAGTTTGAAAAACGTGGGATTGGAAATCCTGTTATTTTAACATTGGCTTCTGTGACCATCTGTTTGATCGAACTTGTGAGTAGCACTTAGTGGCAAGGTTGTTACTTAGAACTCAGCTGCGAAGACCTTTTCGCAGGTGCAAATTCACAGCCACTTTAAGGGCATCTCAAAGCAAATGAAGATTTTGTTTTAGATAGTCAATTTTAATTATAGTCCGCCAGATTGAAATGCATTCCATTTCCATCCCTCCTCCTGAATGTTATGCTCGGTCGACATTTGCGTTTCTTTGTCTCATATAATGCCAATCATGGACCTTTGAATTATTTTATATTGGATTCATAAAGGGTGTTAACAGAGTCAATGTGATGCTAAAATGGCCTTATAGATGCACTTCTATAAGGTCCTCAGTGGTGTCAATTCTTGTTAAATTCCCATCGAAAAGATTCTACATACAAATCCTTCAAAGGCATGTTACATTTTTGTAATAAAAGCTTTGAAAGTCGCTTTATATCTGGGAGAGAAACTAAAGACATAGCAACAGAGTGATTGAACGGGTGTTTCCTTCTCGTTTTTCAAGATAACGATTGAAGGCAGACGGGAACAAAAAGACCACTTTTTAACTAAAAACAAATTTAGCTCGTTTCCCACTGAGATCGTTGTGTTGTTTCAGCGTCTATTTGAATGTAATTAACTTCCTGCCTCTGGTGAAAAATTTCCTCCAATTGAAAACGCCGTTTATTAGGGCTATCCGATTCATTGTTAAGACTTCTCAAAAAAGATTCGTTTTATAGATATTAATATTTTTACTTATTAATTGATTATCTATTTGATTAAAGTATGCTAGAATTTTTGTCACTTTATTTCCAACAAAATGGCAGTTAAACTGCAGACAGAAGGGGCGATTTTGCACCACTGCACATGCCTATTGGGTATGCTATATCGAACGATTTCCAAGTAAACAAAATTTAGGAATGAAAATCAAGCTTTGAATGAAGATGAGAAAAGACTGGCTGTGATAAATATCGCTTTGCCACCTGGAAAATAAGATGAGAAATGCTGCCCACTCGCAGGATGCGAATTATTGCCGCTAAATACTGCATTAAAAGATTTTGATAGCGTTTTCAATATTTCACTCCCAGTTGCGTAACGTCAGCTTCACTTATTCCTTCATTCAGAACATTAATTGTTGACGCAATTGCCAGATATTTTTTATTACTTTGCTCGTTCCTGTGGGAAATTCTACACGCTCTCTCGTCATTATTAGCCTACCTGCGTAGTCTCGAATTACGAGCTTTTTTTCTTCTTTTCTTTTTTTCTCTCTATCAATCACAATGATCAATAACATGTCCGTTTTATTTAGGAAAGAAATAAAGAAAAAGGAAGGAAAAGGCAAGAACAAAGAAAGAAAGCTTCGTATGCCTGAATTACTCAGACCGAAAGCGTAAAATAAATAAGATATATAATAATTTTAACTACCCTTTCATTCCCTGCCTTTGCATCTATTAACGTGAACTTTGCAGTGAGTGTCTTCTCTACATGCTTTCCCTTCAAAATTCCCCGTAGTGGGACAGTCTTTTTTTATTATTTTTATCTATTAAATTAAACAACTATTCGCTTATTGTAAGCAGAAAAGCATTACTATTTTCAACTATTTTCTGACATGATTTTCCTAGGCACCATTTTCTTCGTTCCTTGGGTCCATCTCTTACTTAGTTCACGAAACCTTCTGTGAGATTAAGACTTTTTACTTATTCCCCCGAGTTACTGTCCACGTGAATTAGCCTTTAAACTAAATTTGAAAGAAACCTCGCCAGAGTCCGATTTTTCCTGTTGGGATCTTCGTCCCAGCAAACCATGCAGCGCTGTTCGTTGTGGTAGTTGGGATAAAAAAAATTTACCTTCATCCGCTATGCAGATTCTTAAGAATGGCACAAAATAATTACCAAAAACAAATATATTTTGTACTTTTGTTCAGCGACTGTGATTACATAATAACATTCCTATTTTCATAAATTTATACATGCAATTTTTGTAAAATGAGGCAAGAATCGCTTTTACTGTCGACATACCTGTACAAATGAATAATTTAAAACACCACAAATTAATCTTCTATCCTGCTTTAGGGTGATTTGTCATCTTTTTTTTTTCACTTTCGATTCTAAACTATTGACCTATAAGAGGTTTAATATATAAAAAGCAAAGCAGTTTTCCTTAATAATAGGCGGGCCATTTTTTTTTAGAAATTTAAATGCAAATTTACTCATTTGTGAAACGACCAATGTTTTGAAAATTACATTAATTCTACAATATAGTCTCCGTTTCGATAAATAATCTACAAGTCGCACTGGCTGCAGACCTTCCGCTGTCGTGTCCTCTAAGATGATAAACTCCTCCATTGATTGAATATATCACTGTAATGTCATACGAAACATGTCAGCTTTACCCACTGACGCCACTGGGTGTATCACGTGTTTATCACGTCCTCCGGTTCACGCCTTGATGCTAAATGTAAGCATGAGGAACTGTTCATACGACATCTGTATCCACCCCGTTCTGCCAGTGTCCTGTTGTTGGAATGCCGAAGAGAGCGTCTAGAGGATAAACAAGGAAGCAGGTAGAAAGAAGTATTTGTTTGTAAATCAACTTCGTACAAAAAGCAACAATAAAACATTCGTTTTAGAAATATGGTTAGTCACACAAAGCCAGATTCCCATTTCAACTCTGATATCCCCCCTTTCCCTGCACAGGTGAAATACAAACAGGGTGAATTTTTAACCATTGACCCCTTCCCATCACACAGTAGCCATGGATCTGTATTACCAAATAAGCACTTGAAAACCAAGAAAAATGAGCAAAGCGGTCCGTTTTTATTAATTTCATTGTGAACTAGTCCTGTAAATGCAGAGAGAAAGTAAATTTGTTTAATGTCTTCTTTCTTTCTGGGTGTAGATGGCAGATACATGCCTATTTCAACATGGAACAAAATAAACTGCTTTAAAAATGTGTATATCATTTTATTACACTTGGTAACTGATGTTCGTTACCTTAATGTATTAGGATAGCACATTCCTACCAAATTGAAGAGATAACATGAGGAAAAATCATTTTTGGTATTTTGCAGTGGTATTATATATCACTAATATTTTTTAATAAAATTACTATTCTAAATGTTTGTATCCTTTTGTTAGATATTAATGTATTATGAAATAAGAAAAGCCAATATATCTTACATATTAGAAAAAAGTAGATTAATTCTGCAAGCAAATTCAGTTTTCCATTTACAAGAGCCACTCCATATATTACAAAGGACATATATTTTAAAAAACAAAATAGTCAAAACATAAAACATCATTCATTCTAAATAATACATCTTCATTCTTAGTCTGAGTATACCACTTTCAGACACGAAAATCATAATAACCAAATAATACATATAAATTTGACTTACGTAACGAAGTCCTACGGTTACCACTAAGAGCTTTGAATTCAACTATAATAGTTTATATACCCTTTGACGACTTGGGCTCTCTTCAATTCCACACAGAGAATTTACACTTGAGTAACAATAAAAGAATTTTTACTGTAAGTCAGCAGAAACATCAGTGTCTAGGTTAAACAGGTGCTAAGTGTTTTCTTTTTTTTTTCCTTTACAAAATGAAGTTGAATCTGAAAAAATATCTATATCTGATGCACAATGCAGCATTTCTATCAGCTCTTCATGCTAAACACGAGTGTCAGGAATTGCTCGTAAGAAATCTGTATCCAGCCATCCTGGTCCGTATCATGATATCGAAAAGCACTTGTCAAAGTCTGAAAAAGAAAAAGAAAAAGTACTAACCTCTGATAGATATCATCCTAAAGAAACAAGAAAGTGGATATATGAAAACAAAGAAAAACGTCCTGCAAAAATAAAAAGATGTTGCTCAACTTTATAAAACAAGACCTATAAAAAATCAAATATTGTATAAGATGCCAAATTCAACCTAAAAAAAAAAAAAAAACAAAAACAAAAACATTTATCCCGGATTACCCAAGTAACTTATATAATTTTTTAATAAGTAAAAATATATACATGTGCATGTGTTGAATTTCTATAACCAATTTACTTACTCTACTTATTTTAAATTTGTGATGTTCTAGGGGAGCAAGGCATTAAATGTCTTTGAGTAGAGTAAGCCATTTGCACAAGCAAGTCTGCATGTGTGTGTGTGTGTGTGTGTATGTGTGTGTGTGTGCATCCGTGTGTACTACAGTGTACTACACTGGAGTCTCCCTAAAGGACAGAGAAACGGAATGAAAGAAGGCTTCATTCTCAGCTCTGCTCCAAAAGGGCTGTTTTTGTTAAGACTGATACCAGTGAGATAGTACAAACTTCAACCTCACAGTTTGCATATAACATACCTGCATCACTACACAACACTGTATGAAGTCATCAAAGGCAACCTGGCCTCGCCCCTGCCTGTCAAACTTCCTGATCAAGATGTCATAAAATCTGTCTGACAATCTGTAGCCTGGAAAAATACAAACAGCTCTGTTGGGATCTTAGGACCAAGACAAAGGGTTCCCTTTTCAATTGAAAAAGACAATACTTTCAAAAACTGCATAGCAAAATTGTGTTTGCAAAATGATTGTTTCTTTGAAGGAGAAAACAATATCACACCAGGAGTGTGATGATTAATAAATATAGGTATGTATTTGGAAAGGTAGCTGGTGGTAATACTGACAGTCACTCTCCTATACTAAACATGTGCTTTCTGTTATCATTCCAGTATTTATTCAAGCTGATAAAATGGTGACGTTTCTGCCAAGTTCTATAACTGAGGATGCAAGGTACAACAGATCTGTAGGTCCACCACACACACCAAATATTGCATTTCTTTTTTATCTGTGGTCTATCTAGATGTATCAGTGGTAATTTATAATTTTATAATTAAATATAAAATATATCAAACTAAAAAAGATCACTTCACATCTTTTTTATGAAAATGCATCCCTTCTCCTGTCACTTATAAACTCACCAAAACTTTGTAAAGCTATCTTGAGTTCATTTTTATCAATAGCCCCTGAATTATCTCTGTCATAACTTCGGAAAGTGTTCTGCCAGTCTGTCACGTACTTCCACAGAGATTGGAATTCTTGAAAATTGATTGTGCCATTGTTGTCTCTGTCAAACATGCCTGAAAAGAAAAGTTAGAAAATGTGTATTTTCTTTTTCTTGCTGAAACTAAGTACTATTTTTGTTCATGACAGACTTTCCAAAATCAAAAGCCTTAAAGTTTATTGAATCACTTTTCATTTTCAAATAAGGTCTGTATCCATTTTAGTCCTTTTAAAATAAAAATAGTTTCATTGTCTATCTTCTTGTCTTCAGATACAAATTCTTTAGGGTATCATTAATTCATAAATTCTCTGCTGTACACACCATTTAAGAAAAAAACATTATCTTAAACAAGCTCCTTTCCAAATTAGGTAAAACATCATCAATTTAATGTGTAAACAGACTCTTATTCCTTTGTTTTTCCAGTTAAAATCAATAAGTCAACAGAAGTAAATCATCCTCAAACTCTCACCAATCATCAGCCTGACTGTCTCTGGGTTGAAAGGAGTCCATGTCCCTGTAACAGAAATTGTCTTTTTTGAAAGCTGCATCTAGATGTAATCCTTCAATGTTAGTACAATGTGTAACAAAACTGAAGCTGAGGGATAATATTAATCATGCTTACATTCTAAAAATGCCTGGACTGATTAGAATTCTAAAGATAGCAAATTATGTAAATACGAGAAACATAACACTGTCAAACACACAGAATAAAATTAATTTTCTTCACTCTCTTGTGAGGCCACACAAAGCAAAATACAGCAACAAAACATCTCCAGTATTTGTTTCCAATGATTTTCTATCAATTAACCAAATATATATAAAATCTTACCATTAGACAAGGCTGTGCCTAGTTCATTGGCTGATATACTGCCACTCCTGTCCTTGTCAACTCTAACAGGCAAAGTAAAGACAGCTAAGTCATCTACTACACACAGTTAGTAAATGAAGGTGTGTTCACATCAGGATTAACTTTAACCAGAAATCCACCAACTGGTGTGACAAACAGTTCCATTATATTGTGTCTTTACCAGTCATCTTACATGATGTAATCTGGTCAGAGGCCATCAATTGGTGTATTTCTGGCCTAAGCTGGATCTGATGTGTAGGCAACCTTAAAGCACAGTTTTAGAGCAACTTCTTGTGTGAGAAAAAGGTACCCCCGATTTTGATACATTCTGTTGTTGGTCCATCTTTACTTATCTTTGGTTATTAAACATACTGTCAAAGGAAAACAGGTTTAATTTGAACAGTATGGTGTGCAAACAGCTACTTGTTAGAAATGGGCTTGAGCTAAAACACAATGCATCGAAACAAAAACTAAAATTATGTTTTTTTAATAAAAACAATAATCTTGACAATATCAAAACGTGTTAAAAACAATATTAAAGATGGAACAACAACAGCACAAATCATATCAATATCATGGAAGGCTATGCAACACATCTGGCAATAACCATTTCATTTAGTATACATTTTATAATGAAAGTTTATAGCTGACATCCAATTTTTCTCAAATTGCATGTTTTCTTTTTTTTTTAAATGAAATTCCAAATGGAACAGTTTTATTCCAATTAAATAACCAAAAAACTATGTCAAAGCAGATTTCAAACAATCAACAGGCTAGGCTCCAGGCAAATGTTAAGATGTTGCCAAGAAAATCCAGCAACACATTTCACCAGATGTTAACGCCTTTGTTTTTTCTCACAGAACAAATGCACATGCAGCAACAATGTTAGACCTTACATATCTACAACAGGACTAAGACCAGATAGAGTCTAACTGAAATCACCATGCTATGAATTTAATTTTTTATGTGAGGTAGTATCACAGTTTTCATTGCCAAATGCCAATAAAACTGAAGCAGGACCAAGAATTTTTTTTTTAATGGTAAAGTTACTGGCCACAATATCTGCTTCGTCCCAGTAAATTCTTAGACCCTGTTAGAACCAAGGGCCAGTAGTCTAAAAACATTTGGATAGAGACCGTAACTATGACCAGTCAGACAACATCAATTTTAAGTTAGTCCTAGCTGTTCAGGTGAGGCCTTAAAAACACACTAAAAACCTAGAACAAAACAAAACAAGAACACTGCAGCCTTCACATGGGGTCCATCCAGACCATGCAGCTGACCTGAAAACTAAATATACCCACTCACCATTGGAAAGGGCACTCTGAAGTTCAAATGAATTAATATGGCCACTGTGATCCTTGTCCACTCTAAAGGAGAAGATAAATGGGTAAATAGATTTAATAAATGATCACCAAGGAATTGTTTCCCAATATGTTTACAACAAGACGTGCAGTGTTTAGCAATCTTGTTAATGTGAAGGAATGATGGGTTCTCCCTCTGACATGTGTTAATGTGTGTGTGTGTGCGTGTGTGTGTGCATGCATACACTGTATGTGTACATACAAAAAAAACTTTGAAATAATAAAAGTAAGAAACAACTATTTACAGTAGTATGAAAATATAGACTGTCTCAGCTCATGTTTATCCGCACAGTCACAGTGGAATTTTTCACACAATATTTGTGTTCTCTTTACCACCCAAATAACTAGACATAATGCAAATGAGGTCAGTGGTAGACTGTCAACGTGACATTACCACCGATTATGTCATTGACAAATCAACATTTCTGCACAAAAGTTTGGGTGTGATACCAAGTACGGGCAGTACTAAACGACATTAAATAATTGATTGAACTTTATAACGCGTACAAACACTTTAACTATAACATGGCTAACAAAGAGTTATGTATATTTTCTGACACAAACCTTTGAAAAACACCCCAGAGAAACTGGGGATCGACACCGCCCGGCGCAGGTTGTTGGTATTGGTAAGCCATATTTACTTCCGCTCTCGTGATATCTCGTTTGTAGAAGTATCTTATTGAATTTTCTTAATACATTTCATTCTCGTGATGACCCAAAGAGTGTAAATACATATACTTTGAAATGAACTGGTTGACTTTTCTGATTATCAGACATATATGATACTATATGTCAATAATTTTAGGACGTGGATACAGGTACCCATCATTCCTTGTTCAACATAAACAATATGGTGGAAGTGAAGGAAATTTGAAATGTGAGTTGATTCATTTTGCTTTGTTGTGCGATTGAGACAAATGCCATGCATTGTGCCTACCCAAAAATAGTAAAATTATCATTTTATCTGTTAAAATTTCCCATGTTCTTTTTGTTGAAATATTCTAAATAATGACATTCTTCATAGCTGTCTTGGAATTGACATTCAGTTTGACATGCAATTTTAGATTAGCATATATGACATGTAACTATCTGTTTGAATTTAAATCAAAATAATGATAGTAAGCTAACATTGAGATAATTTAATAGTCATTGTCAGTGAAATACTTGAAATTAGTAGTCTACATAACACTTTATGTCCTTTCAGTGGCTATAAACACAAAGATAAAAATGAGTCGTCAGCTTGGGAAGCAGCGTGCCATGAGTGCGGGACCAGATGCCAAGGTTGCCAGACAGATGATGGCACAGTTGAGGCAGGAGCTACTGGAGTGCAAATCAGAATTACAGAAGACCACCGACCAGCTGAACTGTTTAGTTATGCTGGTAAAGAGGTATACTGTGACTCTTTAATCTGGATCTTTGGTCATCTTTCATCCAGTTATCTGTTTAAATTATTGATTTGAAATATTTTTAGTCAGTAAATCTTTCTCACATTTGCTTGGATATATACTGAACAAAAATATAAATGCCCTATGTGAATTATTTATGTAAAACATAATGGGCTACGGGCAGAACACACAGTAATCTGCAGCATATTGAACAAAATTAACTTTGTATGATATAATACATATATCCCATAATATTGATAAAAATTTTTAAATTATTGGGTAGAGCGTTTGTATTTTTGATCAGTATACATTATTCATTCATCATCAACATCATATCTTCACACCTTGTGGAGCATGAGGCAGGGCACACATCTCTGGATGGTCCTTTAATCATTTGCTCCTCAATTAAATCTGTCAGTCGTGTTTGTATGACTTGTTTTAACAGATGCAGATGAGTTCTTTTCTGTGTGTAATATATGGAATATTTACAGGGCATGGACCGGGGACAAAGCTGCAGCAATACATGTAGCTAATGTGGTTGGTAAGTATTCACATTGAACACATATTGAAAACTTAATTTGTGGAGGATATGGCCTTATTACTTCTCCATCCATAAAAAAGAATGATTAATGTACAAGAAATTAAATCATGCTAATTATAAGCTTTGTGACATTAAAATATATTTGATTGTACAACAGCTTGTGTATTTATAAGTTAGTAAATTATAGTGAACAAACAAATGAAGTAATTGTTAATTAAATCTATTGTTGCTGATACGTGTGTAAGATGATCTTAACCTGCAATTATTAGAATAGAAATTTCAAGTCTTCTTATCTTCTTTTTTCTGCACTTGGTTTATTACTACATGTAAAATTTCAGGCGTGGCACCTCCTGACTTTGAAGGAAAGGAAAATAACACAATTACACCAAAACCCAAGGTAATTGTTTGGCCTTTGGTACATGATTTATCAAATGTAGCAATAGTAAAAAATTCAGAGCTTGAGATTAGAGAAGAAGTGTTTTGTGTAAAGAGATATGAGGCAAAAATCAGTATCATTACTTTTATGAAATAGAAATTACATTTATGAAACTGGGTACTTTAGAGTATTTTTACTCTACTTTCATGATCTGAATCATCCACAACTGTCAGTTAGATTGTTCTAGCAAAGTTTTTGTTTAAAACAAATATCCACGACCTTTTCGCCCATTCACAAAAGAAATTACCAATTTTACAATTTCTGTTAGCTAGTAGCTAGTAAGGTTGAAAAATATGAAACATTAATATGTTTTATGAGTTTTAAATGTCATCACATGAATGGTCAGTTAATCTGTGCTATGATATTGTCCCTCAGACCAGGTCCCTCCAGAACTGGGCCTTGCTGACCATAGGGCTGCTGCAGAGGGAATACAAGGCACTGGAGAGAGAGGTCCAAGACAGGCAGAAGATCTTCTTTCAGAGTCGACAGGGTTTTCTGGAGGAGCAGCTGATACAGCACCGTGACATGCTGGCTGTTGGTAGGGGACGAGATGGGGGCCACAAACGGACGTCCACCGTGGAGGAAGTGGACAGGTTGTTCTTAAAGAATCAGAAGGTACTGCACCACAGGGAATTAGAATATTAGCATGTGAAGTTGATCACCCTAGCATGGTTAACTTAAACCAAATGCTGAAGCATGTTCTAATTTTGATTTGGCAGAAATTCTCAAGCTTTTTGGCTTTAACAAATTTTTTCTACTATAACTACCCTGTTCTCAGGATCACTTCATTTTTCAGAGGTGGAGAGAATGATAACTGATAACATATTTATATTATTTTGATTGTTTTCAAATTTATATGTGACATATCAAAGACAAATTAGTATATAGATCAAATGAATATTAAAATACTTTGATTGTGAATAGGTCATGTTTTTGCATATTTGTTTAAAATTCTAATGGTAAAACTAAGACAAAATATAATGTTGAATTCTAGCCTAGGTTTACTAAATGCGTTATGCTTTTAAAAGGTATTTAAGCCTATTTTATTTACACCTATTCTTCTACTTTCACAATTATCTTAGAAACCAGACAGAGTGCAGAGTGCCAAGAAGACCAGCAAGCACCTGTACAGGTCACCTCAGAGGGAGGCCGCCTCGGAGGCCGAGCTGACCTGGGCAGACTTGTTCATTGAACCTGTACATAACAAAGACACAACTGGGACTGAGGTAGATGCCAACAAGGTGAGATAGGTGTAAGAGCACTAGCTGTAAGGTTTTCAATTGATAATACTACAGTCTGCTGTCTGGGTACTGAAGACTTTGTACTTTGTGAATTCTGGTGATTATTCTATTTCTATGTGGCATCTATCTGTTGTAAAAAAAAAAACTTTTTGAAATAATTATGGTACTTACTATTTGATTTTGTAAAATTTCTATAGGCCCTACAACCAAACTTCAGGTATTAAAAACATTGAATTTTCTTATTTGATATTAACTGTCACTCATTTTGTTTAAAAGGAAAAAATAATAGTCTAATAAGTTGATTATTTCTTTGGTGTCATCTAAGAAACCATTGTTAATGTTGCTATCAAATTCTGCTTAATCACTGATCTTTAACACCATATTGTGCTCAGGACATGAGTGAGATCTTCCAACTGACTGGAGATGGTCAAGAAACTGGCCGTGACGGACCCCTGGACGGCCACCTGCTGAGAGAGGAGAACAGCTGTAGTAGTGTGGACAATGACCCAGACAGAGTCCACCTGGATTTAGATTATGATGACCCCCACAGGTATACACAGGTAAGTTTATATGTGGACAAGCGTCAGTGAAGTTGAAGCAAGGCCAGTACAATTTTTAAAAGTTAAAAGTGTATTTAATTACTGTTTATTGTTTCTGCTTTGACTAGAACTATTTTACATGGTTTTAGACAAGATCTGTGATATATGACTATATTCATACTTACACATCTGTTTTTTATACTGCTTTGAAAAAAATATGTATTTTGAAAATGCTCTTGTAATCTAATTATATTTCCTCATTTAAGTGTATGAAATGAGTAAATGTTTTAATTATTATTATTTCTTTTTTTCAGTCTGATCTTTTTGATAAGAATGTATTAGGAGTGAAAAAGAACCGCCCAGTCAGTGCCGTACAGCAAAGGTCAGGGGACGCAAAGAGGGCACGACCCAAAAGTGCAGGTAAGTCAGCAACGCTGGTCAACACTGACTCTAAGGTGGATTCAGATGCTGTAGCTGGAGCTTGATTCAATACAATCACCGGGATTTTATTTTTTAATGATGGTTCATGATTTTTGGAGTAATAAAGGAGAACGGTTGTTGTCAGGGGTAAGGGAAATTCTTTTTTAATATGTCCTTCCTGGAGATTGTAGTATTTTTTTTTTTTTTTCAAATAAAATATTTTCAGTCACTGATATGGAAAGTAAACTGTTTTCCCTTTTGTTTATATTATGAAATTTAAAAAATTAACATGATGATAAATTTTTTTAGCATTATAAAAACTTTGAAGTTTATGCCAGTATTTCTCATGCACTTTTAGTGATAGCCAGAGGAGAACGACCTCTCAAATATGTAACCACACGTCCAGTCTCCGCCCAAGTTACAAATAAACTGAAAAAGGACAAAATCTCAAACGAGAAACAACAAGACAGCAAAAACAGAAATGAAAACAAGCCTAGTCCAGGATCAAAAGACGTTAAAAAAAGGCGCCCGCCTAGTTTAACGGCCGAACAGCTGGCCATCATACGAAGGCCCGAGTGCGTGGATCAGTTCGAAGAGGACGTGAAACGCATGCACCAGATGGAGGAGGAAATAAAGAGAGCCACAAAAACCTTGCAGAAGAAACTGGGGATAAGTGGGGATGGAGCCATATAATGGATGTTACATGATGTCCAGTTATAATGCATATAGAGAACATGCTAATTATAGGCAACTTGAAGTCTAAGTTGTGAGGAACATTCACAGGGTTATAGTGATGTGCATGATGACATTGATGTGTTCAGTCTAATGTTAAGAAGAAATTATTTACTTTTTATTTCCTGCAAAACCAAAAAAAAAAAATGTTTATTTTATGGATTTTATAAGTTTTATCATCCTGGTGCACTTGCACTCAAGTTCTTAGTTGAAGTCAGTCTTCTCCTTTATTGTCTACCACTTTTAAAACTTTGATCCGTCCTCATGTAGAATAAACAGCTTCTTCAAGTGAAAACTCAGAGACAACCTAGTTAAATCCTCACAGATATTGCCAATATGTCATTTTTTTCAAGTGTTGGCCATTAATTAAGATGTTCTAAGTTGTAAAATTGCTTGGTTCTGGGGAAAAACATATTAATCAGTGCATGCTTCCAGACATTTGTATTGCTCTGACATAATACCATTGCATGGTGAATTCTGTCAAAAGATGCTCAAGGCATGTGCTATGTATTGCTATAATATTTTGAAGTATTAATCTTACCTATTAATAAGGACAATTTGAGCTGTTATAGCAGTTTGTATACAGTTTTGTATACAGAGTACAATAAGTTAATTTAAAATCTAATACAAAGCAGCCATCCTCTGGTTGTAAACCTCATATTTGAGGATATAAAGTCACAGAGGCCATAGAATGGTGCCTACTGCCTTGTTAAGTATTTATTTTGAGTTTAACATTTTGCTTTCTTTGTAGCTTGACAGAACAATGTGCATGTTTAAATGCATAATGGTATAAGTTTGTGCAATCATATAAGAGATGTATCACTTTCCCACCACATTTTTAAAAGATGTCACAATTTTGGTATGCTCCTTGTTGTACAAATAAACATGACTTAATATAAAGTTCGATTTCATTAATTCAATTCTCAAGTGAAGTACAGCATTTTCAATGGTTTTACAACATATATTCTTATCCTTGGTGTCAATCATTCTCTTAAAAGTACAGCAGAGGATAAAGTTTATCTTTCTTTTTTTTTTTTAAGTTTGTGAGATTTGTGCAAAATTTCATTTGTGTCAAAATTTCAGTTACTGCCCAGTATTTGTTGCCCTTCACAGATAGATTTTTCTCTAGATACTAACAGCTGTCTCCAACTAATTCTGTACTTTTCTCTTCTGCGAGACTTGTCATCACCCGGCAGGTGTATAGTATAGATCACTTTTGCAAGGTTTTATAGAATACATAAAAATATTAACCTAAGACAAGGTTTTATAGAATAAAAAAAAATCATTTCATATAGGCTTAAGAAGTTCAAGTTAATCAAATTGTTGCAGTCATAACATCCCTCTATGTGACATTAGTGCCAGCAGGGCATTTAAACTGACAATGAAAAACATTTCATTAAAAAAAATGTTTTTTTTTTTTTTTTGAGGAGGGGGGGGGGGGCAAGTAAAAAGCAATTGAAAAAAAATAGCACACACTCCTAAGGTAATGGTTAAGTGAAAAACAAAGTACTTCTTAGTTTTGTACTGTTGTTTTATTATCATTGCCCATTTTCACATTTTGTACCACATTTTCAGACAAATTCTACCAAGCACATACTAATATATGGCAACTATGAATAATACAATCACGTCTCACTATTATCTAGTTCACATTTTTTTCATCTTCATAATGTTACTGACTCCAACAAACTCCATAAGCTAGGTCCCCAATCAGATGTACATCTGTTGTATGTGATTAAAAAAAACATAAAAATTTACAGCTCTGAATAAATGGTTCTGAATTTACAATTATTCACAAAAATAATTCACCTTTCACATCAGAATTGCAGAAGATAAGCATTTTAAGATTCTATCACTGTACAATGTATTTGGGAATATTTTATAAAAAAAATCCAAACCTTCACTCTTTTTCTTCATATAAAATAGAAAAGTAATTTTGGTCCATGATAAAATCATTAATTTAAAAAAAAAGATTAAAAAATCCAAGAGGTTGAAATTGACTTTGTTGCCACTTCTGGAAGTAAAATTCATTTTTGAGCTTTCTCGGCCCCTGTCATAATTTTCCATTGAAATATCCATCCAATTCTGTCATTCATATCACTGAATGATGTCAAAAAACCCAATGGTTGCTTCTGTCATATCATGTAAATTATATTTCTTTCATTACAAAAAACTTTTAGCAGCTTGTTAGATTTATCAACTGGACACAGATTTTTTTGGTGTTCCTCTAAAAGTGGTAGGATGCACGTTTTCTTTTAGGCAGGATTCCACCGGTTTCTTGTGTGCTAATTTTAGTCTAGTGAGTTCATCTCTTGTCTTTACCAATTCCTGGAAATAATAATAATAATAATAATAATAATAATAATAATGTCATGTATTAACAATCTGTTTCTCTTCTTCCGGCTCAAATGTAAACCAATGCACTGAAACAAATGTCAAATATTAGTTCATGAAAACTAAGATTTATCCTTATTTTTCATATCGTACAATTTTCTTTCAAACCCAAGGGAAGTAAGAATAATTTGTTTCAATCAAGAACTGACTGAACACAAATGAGGTTCATAGATGGCCCTTGATCTCCACCTGAAAAAGAGGCCACTGGGAGGAGTGACCAGTCACTATGGTGATCAGCTATCACCAAATTAGCCTATGTGATGTACATGGGCTTGAAAATTGCCCTCATAAAGAGAAAAGGCTGGATGGCCTAACTGGTAAGATGCTTGCCACTTCCACATAAGATAAAGACTGTATGATACTGAGGGTTCAATTCTCACACAGACACAAGACCCTTTCATAAAACTCATTAATAAATCTAGGAAATTCAAAGACACCTTTTTTTTTTTCCTTTTCAGAGCAGTTTTCCTCTTTATTTTACCAGAAATAAACAATTATTAGTCAGTTCTTGGTTTTGAAGATGCAACTGTTCATCATTTTTTATCATATGGTATCCTGTATTGAAGATTTCAATTTAAATATGAAAAACCATAATCATTTACTCAGTTTTGCACCTTTTCTTCCCTAAGCATGCGATTTTTACCTTTTGGGAAAATATTCATGAAAAGTTGAAATGGAACAATTATTATTTAACATTACTCAACAACCTTTAAAATGGTCCCTGAGCAGCTGAAAATATGAAATTCATCAACATTCATGCTACAATCTCATTATTGTTTTAATTGAAATCTGGACAGTTTTCTTTCAATGTTTAACTAGTCTTATAATATTTACAGGAAAGCATTTAAGTCACAAGTCACACAGTGCTATGCAAAACACTACGACATCCAAACACTGAACATTCTTCACTATTGGAATTGGACATCCTCCGATTCTGAAAATAAAACAATTTTCCTTTCAACCCTCTAAAAACAACTTTAAATGAGAAACATAAGCCCCATTCAGAATAGGAGACTAACTAGTCCAAGTGTGAAATATGGCAACCTACTACAAAGCTTGTCGTCTATTCTGATAAAAGACACTGAATAGATATCCCATGGGGAAGTATTCAAGTGGGTCGGCCATATTTGACCCTCAGACTAGTTAGTCCCTTATTCTGAATGGGACCATATATCAATGAAAAAATCAAAAAGAAAGACCACTATTTGCAAAATCTGGAAAGTTCATTTTTCAAAACTGTTACAATCCAGCAAACTTTTCTATTTACCTCCATCAACCTGTTGTTCTCATCTTTCAGGCTCATGTGGTATTGGATCTTCTGTTTTGGATTCTGGTGGCCGACCAGGCGGGCATTTTCCTCTCTAAGGGTCTCCATTTTTTCTAAAGTAGACTTCAGCTCCTATGACAAAATAAATGTGTAAACAAATTTTTCAAAATAAATAAATAAATATTTTTTTAATAATAATTAGCCCTAGTTCCTTGAATAGAATTCAAATATCCAGATATTGGTAAAATAGTCTATACTGAGGTAGGACTAGCAATTTTTTTCGCTTAGCCAAATCACCGTTTTTTGTCAATTTGTTATCCAAATGGTTTTAATTTGACTAAAATGAGTCAAATCAAGCCCTTTTTGTTTAGCCAAGTTCAGCCTTTTTTAGCATTTGGCTAAATTGGCGAGTGTTAGCGCTACCCCAGCTCTAGTATTTAGTAGAACAAACTTATGCATTGATATAAGCACACTTGAGGATTTTTAATAAAAAAAGTAAAAGTCAAGAGTGTAGACAGTCAGAGTGTAATCTTTGCACACTTCTATTAAATTAATACTTAAAGCAATACCAAATATATCATTTTCCTTGAAAGCTCTCAATTCCCCTGCACCTTGTCTCTCTTCATATTTTTCTTTGTCTTTCCTAAAGCAATAATTCTTTAAACCAATGTCGAAAACCCACATCTGCCCCAATGATAATGACTGACCAGGTTTACCCTCTTAGTGAGACTTTACCTCAGTTTTCCTGGCATCCTCTTCCTGTAATAATTCTACCTTGGACCTCAAGTCATCACCATCACCTTGTGCTTCTTCTAATAACTTGGTCAATCTGGAAGCAGCGATTTAAAAATAATATACAGTAAAGCATTATCTGCAGGATTAAGGAGACAGTCCAAAGTGCCATACATACTGCCCAATTTTTGAAGTAGAATTGCAGTAGGCTATACTGCATTTCTACTGCAAATATGCTCCACACCACTACTGCGTTAATGCTTCTTTGCTACTTCGATACTACTGCATTTTCGTGTGGGTGCTTTAGTACAAAAACAAGCCAGTAATTTAGAGCAACAACTGCCTTCCCTGGATTTCACTGAGCATGACCCGTTTTCACTTCACAAGACAAGAAATTGCGGCCTTGTGTCACATATAATACAGACATTGTATTCTGTCATGGATACCAGACAAGACAGAAGATAATGCCAGACAGAAGATAATACCAGACAGAAGATAATGCCAGACAGAAGATAATACCAGACAGAAGATAATAGCCACACTAGGTTCGTTTCAGATAATCTTTCAGGGATTTTGTCATCTTTAAGGTCTGGTGTTAGGATAGAAAAGAGGCTTTTTAAGATCAAAAAGAAGATGACTGTTGAGAATTCTCAAATGCGGGCAGATTGCTTTTAAACAATAGATTTCAAAAGTTTTCTTACTTTTCCATATCTCTGGTCTTCTCTTCTACAGTGGCGACAAGTTCTCTGATTTCTTTTTGATGCAGTGAAGTTTCCACTTTCATAGCTTCCATATTTTCTAAAGCAGACTTCATCTCCTATGATGATATAAATGTGCAAACATAAATTTCAACTTTAAAATAAGACTTTCTAAAATAAAAATTGGTATAAAAAATAGAATCCATTAAATTTCCATCCAATTATTTCCAAAAATAGCACTTATTTCAATCATTCTATAGACCAAATCTAAATCTTTAACCTTTAATGAAAAAGTGTCACAATCACAGCATTATAGTGATTGCTATTTATATGTTTTATAGACCTATCCTTAAACAATGATGCTTTGTTCAAACCAGTTTGGAAGACCCATTGATAATGATTGACCAGTTTACCGTCTTGGTGAGACTTTACCTCAGTTTTCCTGGCATCCTCCTCCTGTAATAATTCTACCTTAGACCTCAAATCATCTCTGTCACCTTGAGCTTCTTCTAATAACTTGGTCAAACTGGAAATAGCCATTTTAAAATAATATAGGGTAAAGCATTATCTGCAGGATTAAGGAGACAGTACTAAGTGCCATACATACTGCTGTGGTAAAAATACTAGCCAGTCATTTAGAGCAACACCTGCCTTCCCTGACTTTCATTGACTTAACTTTACAACACAAGAATATAGCACCATATACTGCAGCCCTGTGTCACATATAATACAGACATTGTGAGTTGTCATAGCTACTAGACAAGGCAGAGAAGATAATAGCCACACTAGGTTCGTTTCAGATAAACTTTTATTTCAGAGTTTTTGGCAACTTTAAGGTCTGGTGTTAGGATAGATAAGAAGCTTTTTTTAGGACAAAAAGATGACTGATGGGAATTTTCAACTGTGGGCAGATTGTTTTTAAACAATAAATTTCAAAAGTTGTCTTACTTTTCTACATCTCCAGTCTTCTGTTCTACAGTGGCGACAAGATCTCTGATTTCTTTTTGATGCAGTGAAGTTTCTTCTTTCAGAGCCTCCATTTTTTCCAAAGCAGACTTCAGCTCCTGTGATGATATAAATGGTCAAACATTAATTTCAACTTTATAATGAGACTTTCTAAACTAAAATAAATGTCATAAGAAATTGAAACCATCAAGGTTTGATCTACTTTCTTCCAAAATGAACATGAATTTCAATCATTCTACAGACCATATCTAAATCTTTACCGTTTAATGGAAAGGTGTTACAAGCACAGTACTATAGCAATTGCTACTTATATGTTTTTATAGACCTATCCTTAAACAGTGATGCTTTGTTCAAACCAAAAATCCTTTGATAAAGATTGACCAGGTTTACCCTGAGACTTTACCTCAGTCTTCCTGGCATCCTCTGCCTGTAATGATTCCATCTTTGACTTCAACTCATCACTATCACCTTGTGCTGTCTCTAATAACTTGGTCAACCTAAATACAGTGATATAAAGTCTCAGATAAATATATTTTATCACCAGGAGAGTGTTAAAGTGTTTTTAACAAGACATACTGCAGAACTTTTCAGACTATATTTAAAAAAAAAATCCCTCTATGCATCTTAAATGTGAAAAAAAAAATTCTATCCTACTTTTCCAATTCTTCCGTTTTCTGTTCTACTGTGTTAAGAAGTTCTTTGTTTTGATTTTGTGGAAGAGCATTTTCTTCTTTTAGAATCTCCAGTTTTCCTATAGCAGTATTCAGTTCCTACGATAACACAACAGTACAAATAAAAATAACATAAATAAATTTTGGCGAAAATATACCACAAACAAAAAAAAAAAAAAATACATAAAATGCAATAAAAATATTATATCTAAAAGTTTAAATTGAAAGTTAAAATACAAAGAAATACTTTTCAATTATTATTAGTAAAAACAATTTTTTCATTATAGACACATTCTTACCTTTATTTTTTTTTTGGCCTACCTTGAGGCAACATCATTCTGAGAAAAAAAAATACTCCACTGCAAATGTTTTAGACTTTACCTCAGTTTTCCTGGCATCCATTTCCTGTAATAATTCCACCTTGGACCTCAAATCATCACTTTCACCTTGTGCTGTCTCTAATAACTTGGTCAATCTGGGAACCGTGAAAATAAAATTGTTTTTACACAATATTCAACAACACAGAAATGATTGAGACACATACAGTAGAAGCAAGTAATATGGCCCTTGGAATGCCTATAAAACACTTTCATCTCTAATGCCAGTCTGTGCCAAATCTTTAAAAAAATATTTTTCCTGTACGATTGGCGAGGGTCCAAAAGTGTACTGTAAATTTACTGGCCCCTTGAAGAAAAAGTAGCCAGAAACTGACCCAACTTCCAAAATTTTGAAAGCCCTGTTTTACTGGCATTTCATTTTGACATGGGTTCATAGCTGATACAACAGGCTGTACTGTTTATTGATATTTTAGTGATAGTTATCACTTACTTTGGAACAAAACAGAAAATGATACTAAAACATTTTTTTGCTCTTTTCATTTTTGTTATTGTTCCAAAGTAAGTGATTACTAATTGTATTGATAAGGCAGCACTGTTGAACAATCTTATTGATAAGGCTGTACTGTTGTCTTACTTATTAAGTTCTTCATTCTTCTCCTCTATAATGGTACAATACTTCTTGTTCTCTTCCAGGGACAGGGCAGCCTTGGTTACCATGTCTGCAAGGCGAGACTGGAGCTCTTCTCTCATTGCCTCCATCTCCACCGTCTTCTGATTCAACTGGCAAAAAAGAAAAAAAAACTTTAAAAGCCATAATTTGAACTGGACAGATGTCCTTTTCAGGTCCACTGTGAGACTAGTATGTTCTTCAAGGACAAGCATACCTGAGATATGACAAACACCATGTTATTTTAAAGTTTTTTTTTTCTTTGTGAAAACCATAGGCACTATTGTAGGTCTTACCTGCTCCTGAAGGACTTCAGCTTGCTCTTGATACTCTTTCTGTAAAAGATATTTTAAAGAAAACACCAAGTTTTACAATTTCAGAAGAAAAAGTTAAAGATTGAAATATACCTTGCTCTTTAATGAGAAAGGCAAATATTTAACAAGGTATGAAAAACATTCAATCCAATTTTACTTTTAATTTCTAAATCACTATTTGACTTTGTTTGAGAATACATTATATGGAAAAAATAATATAATAACCCATATTTTCTTCATTTGCCAAAAAGTTTTCATTTTGATATAAAAAATTTTCAAATCTGTGGTATATGTAAACTGTTGAGCTCAAAATGGCAGTAAAATTGATTGAAATATGAACATTAAAAAAAATCATGAGGGGGAAATACTTGCCTTAAGAGATTCCAGACTACCTTCAGACTCAGCTAATGTCTCACTGACCACTTCTAAATCTTCTCGCAGCATCGACTCCTGAAAGAAAGAAACAATTAAATGTGCACAAATATATTTTTCTACACATTCTTGAGGGCATGAAGAGCATACACTGGCAGCTCCACATACATCTTAAATTAAAAACAAACAAAAAAAAAACAAAAAAAAAGACAAGCTATAATCGTGATAAACTACATGATTTTTGCCTGAAGGGTCAACTGTATTGACACACACACATGAGTTTGATTAGTCAAAGCCTTTTAATAACAGCTGTCAATATAAGTCCACAAGATATTTAATTACTTACAATGGCACTAAGCTGCTCCTTCTCCAGCACAAACTTGGCTGATAACTCATCCATTTGTTTGGTCTTTTCCTCCAGCGCTGTCTGCGTGTCTTGTTTTTGACACTCTAACAAATAGACGTCATTCTCTCTGGCTGTCAGCTCTGACCTCAGCACTGCCAGGATTTCTGCGTTCTCAGAAATCTGGGATTTCTGGTCCTGAATTCTGGTCATCATATCCCCAATGGCTGCCTGAAGAGAGTAAAAAGTAACTTGATTTAAAAATATGTATGCCCAAATTTGTTCTCTTACAATTAAAATATCATTAAATTTTGTAAAATTCCATATATGCCCTCAAGGAAGAACCCATTCTCCATTCTTTTCATACTTCAATATCTCTAAAAACATAACTATTAGCATTTATTTCTTTCTTCATTTTCATTTTCAGCTAAAATCAATTCTCTTCCAAGTTCCCTTGACCCCAAACTGGAACTGATTTTGACACCGTTTTAAGCACAAATCCACTTGTACTACACACCTTGTCCCTCTCCGCCTCCTTATTGGCCTCTCTGACGGCATTCTTCGCTGTCTCTAGTTCCTGCACCAGCAGGGAGGTCTTCTGGTCCTGGGCGTCACACTGGGACTGCAGGACACTGCACTGGTTCTGGAGACGACTGTTCTCCTCTAGGGCCTGGCCTAGTTCTTGTTGCTACAGATAGAATGTGTTATTAAATTAATTAATTAAGACAATGACATCACTAATAACAATAATAGTAATGTAGTCCAAAACTGTGTACACGCCAGTGCACAAGTGTGTGTGTGTGTGTTTGTGTGTTTGTGTGTGTGTGTGTGTGTGTGTGTGTGAGAGAGAGAGAGAGAGATGTAAACAACAAAAAAGTGCAAATTTTAGACCACAACAATCCCCATTACCATTGTGTACAACTGAATATGCACATGTACATGCATATCAGTGCACATACTCCCCTTATATTTCAACAAAATTACATATGTGCAGTTGCAAATGTGGCAAACAACAATGTAACTTACCACTTCATGCCCAGTAGCCAACTGAGCTGTCATCTTAGATACCTTCTCCCTCTCAGCCTCCATTTGGCTGGTCAGACTCTTCAGTTCAACTTCCTTCTCCTTACAGGTCTCCATGGAGGTCTTCAGCTGCTCCTCCAGGGTGGCAACCTGCCCTTCCATGAAGCTTTTAGTGTCCTGAAGGTTTTCTACTTGCTCCTAAAGATGGTTATGAAATAACAGTTTGATACCATTCCAACTATTCAAATTGGAATCACTGGTCACAGCCTTTGTTGTAAATAACTGGCCCTTTTCTTCTTTTTTTTTGTTGTCAAATTGTATCAAATGGGTAATTTATGCTTAAAAAATTCTAAAATCCTATGCGACTGAAATCTAATAAATAAATAAATAAATAAATAAATAAATAAATAAATAAATAAAAGAAAAAACATCCAAGAAATAATGAAAATATTGTTTCATTAAAAAGTGAGCTGTTTACCTCCAATGTCAACTTCTCATCTCGTGCTGCCTGGTACTCCTTCTGGAGATTAAAGTGCTCGATTTCAATCCTTAGGAGCTGAAATTAGAAAAAAAAAAGAGGTACTAACTTTAAAGGGATAATAACTCTTCGTATGAGATCTATATTTCACAATAAAAACCTTGTGAATAACTCATAGAAATATAATTTATTCTGTTTTACCACAAAAACAGCAGTTATAGCTTTTATTCTGATATCTGAACTTGTCTTTAGACCACGTGACCTCCATTGATGGCTATACTCTGTTAAAATCTCTTAAGATTTTACTATTTAAACCAAACTTTTTAGAAAAAAACCAGGGACTAACTTTGAATGTAAAAATGGAATTATTAACCATTGGTAAGTATGGGAAAATTATTGTTTACTCCAGGAAAATTCATTTTTTGGCCGAAACAAAGAGTTATTATTGCTTTAAGTATGATAAACCTGGAGGTCTCCTTTTTTTCTCTTTCCCATGTACAGCATGTGATTTTAAAGTCTTGAATAAATCTTTAGCCCAAGACTTTTTCACTCTTTCAAATTTAAAAAAAAATCAACCTAGAAAATTTTAGAACAATTAAACTTTTAAATCCATTTTCTTTGAAAAAAAATATAAGTGCATAACATAAAACACCGTAAACCTTCTAGCACTTTCACATACCTTTGTTTCAATTGCTGCCTTCTCTTTTTCCTTTTCTTCATCACTTAATTTGATCTTGGACTTGTAGGTAGCTATTTCCTTGTCTGCCTGCTGGAGGAGTACCCTGTAGTCTTCCTTCTCTCCTTCCATCACTGGATTAAAGTTTTGAATTATTTTCAAAAACAATATTTTAAACCTTTTACCATTTCAGACCAAAATAATCTTCATTTATTGATGTTGCTTTTTCATCAAAGTGTGAACAAATCTGAAAGGTCCCTTCATTAAATTAACCTTTTTATTTTTGTACAGTTTTGTCATGACAAAAAATATGCCTATTTACCTTATATATCGTACTATATGACTCTCCATACACCTTAATGTGTTAATTTTTTAAAAGACTTTTAAAACAATTTGACATTTTTCTTCCGTTATATTATCTTCCGTTAAAGACCATTCCACGAGAACAGTACTCATTATGCCCTATCAAAATAATAAGATATGTTATTCTAAGAACAAGTATTTTCTTCTCACTTGTAAAGTTGTCTGTAACCTGCTGTAACTGCAGTGTCAAAGCCTCCAGCTGGGATACTGAAGAGTCCCTCTCTCTCACCAGCTCTAGTCTCTCTGCTGTCATGGACTACAATGATGCAATAGAAGAATATTAGTTATTGTAAAAAATTTCATAATTAAAAGTAAATTATTACAATTTCTGAAGATGTCCTTTGCCTCACCATTTCATCTCTTTGCTGTCATGGACTACAATGATGCAAAATAGAAGAATATTAGTTAGTAGCATATATATTTTTTTTAACAGTAAATTATTACAATTGCAAAGCAATGCAAAGGGTGAATGTGTAAACTTGAATTTCAAAGACACTGTACAACAAGGCAGCAAAGCTGTCAAATGTACAGACAAAAAGCAGGAAATAACAAAATAGGCTACTGTCAATTCTGATACAAAAGTACATTATGTTAAACTGCAAATTCAACATCAAATTTTAATTATGCTCAACAGGTAATACCAATGTAAGTAAAATGTGTACCAAGCATAAGGCTTCAGGCCCATGGAAGTTCAAGTTCACACTTTGAAAATGTAAAACTTCCAGAAAAAGAAGTCAATTAGACTGCTTTTCCAACGTCAGGCTGCATTTTAGTCCTGTATTTCTTTTTTGAAAGTTTTGCAATCATAAGTAACATGGTTTTCTCATAATGGTCATCATGGCAGCAGCACCCAAAATTGTGTTTTCTTCTATTCTGATGCAATATTACATAATGGTTTACAGCATAATGACAATCAATTTTTAATAAGAAAATATACCTATCATGGATTTTCAGAAAATGTGACTATCATGGGTCTTCAAGCCTGTGGAACTTCAAAGTCACACATTGAAAATGCCAATATGTGAAAAATTAAATTTTCACAAAAAAATGTTTAACTGGCAGATTGCATTGCCTACTGAAGCTATATTTTAGTCCCATGTTTCTTTCCTGTAAGTTTGAGAACAGTAAGTGACATGGTTTTTCTTAAATGGTCATCATAGTAGCAGTGCCCAAAAATAGTTT